AAAATATTTCTTTTTATTTTTATTATTTAATTATCTTAATATTATAAATGTGATATAATTAGATATGTTTTTTACAAATATTTATTAATTAAATTATTATCATTATATAATTATCATTATATAATTACTAAAATATAAATAGTACAACAATATTTATATAAAGATTGTTTTATTTACTAAAACATGTATCAAGTATAAAGATTATATTATTTACTAAAAATCATATTCTGATTTATTTTACTGTTTAAGAGCATCTCCAATGCTCAAATATTGTTGTAGTAAATTACATTCTACATCAACATATTTAACAATGTCACAACTTTTCATCCTCCAATGCACAATGTGATTACAAATGTTGTGATGATATGGACATAATTAATGTCTACAATGTAGAGAAGAATATGGTTCATCTACATTATCCTCCATACTCTAGCTAGCCAATAAAGAGAAGAGAGAGAATTATTCTTACCAATTCTAAATTATTTAATTTATTTTCTTACTACATATTATAAAATTTTTATATTTGATAAGTAGATAATATTGTAGTTAGACTACATTGTGCATTAGAGATAATTTTGTAATTTCGTAGTTGTAAACTAAACATTTTCTGACAAGGTGAGAGTAAAAAACAAACTAGACATTTTTGAAAAGTTTCTCTCTCTCTCTTCGGTAGAAATCCCCAAATCATACCCTAGTTCCGTCGTCGGCAATTGGAGCCTCTCTCGGCGGCAATCCGGCTTGCCGGTGGACTGCTCACCGCCGTGCATCCTAGTCGCTCTCTGCAACACTTCCGTCTCTATCTCTCTCACCGTGGGGTGCGGTTACAGGGCTCCGACGGATCTCGTCGGTTTCTGTGATTGCGGCTTCGGAGCTTCATGGTGGAGATGCTAGATGGAGTGTGGTAGCAGTGGCTGGATGTGGCTCGTTGGGTTGCGTCGTCCCTGTTCTTTTCTCCCCTTTTCAGCCTTAGCCGGTGGCCGCTTGTCCGATCGTTGTGATGTTGCAGGGTCTCACTCTGGCTTTCTGTTGGCCGGCGTAATGGCGAGGCAGCGGGAGGGCTGCGGCCCGTTCCTAGGGTCTGAGTGGGGAGGTTGGATACGAGCTGTGGTTGGATCGGCTCCTACTGCCGGGCTGATAGGATATCCTGATTGCGGGTCTTCGGGTTTGGCCGGAGTCTGGCTCCTGGCACCTCAACTGTGTTGGAGTGGTGGGTCGGGATTCATCCTTGCGGGCTGGGTGGATAGGTGTTTGGTTCGAGTTGAGTTTGTTCCGTTGAGTAGGGCAGATGCGGCTGAGCCCTGAGGTCATTCGCCCCCTTCCTACTCTAGCTCGGTTTTCGAGCTTGTAGGAGGCCGTCTGTTCCCGGAGCTGGCTAGTGGTGTTAGGCAACTTTGGGACGGATTTGGATTGGCTAGTGGTGTTAGCCGGTTGGGGGGCGATTGTGACTTCTTGCGGTCGGTGTGCGGGTTGGTATCTTTTGGTTTGTTCAGAGGCTAAGGTCTTCGTCTTGCTAGGCCTTATGCAGTGGCGGGCGGGGTTCCAGAGCTTCGGAGCTCTCCTCGGAGCTGGCTTTGTCTGCTGTCTTTCCTGGATGTTGTAGCTGAGGGCGGCATAAATTACTGTTGATTATGTTTATTTAGGTTGTGTTGTTGTTTTTGTGTGTCGCTTTGTCTTGTCCTTGTCTTGTGTTATTTGTGTTTTAGGTTTGGGCTTTTTGCCTCGGTTAGCTTGAGTGTGACTTTATTATCCTGTTGGGACCACACACTCGAGCATTACCCTGTTGGGGTCTTGTTGTTTTAACTAAACATTTTCTTACATGGTTCACAGTCCATTTAATTTATTGACGTTTGTCAAAATTTATTCTATAACAACATTAGAGCATTGGAGATGCTCTAATAACATGAATATATATACATGGAATGTAAGATCACCACAATCTATTTCGCAAAAATATGTATTAATTCTATAAATTTGATAAAAGTTTTGCGAAATAGCAATTTTATTGGGCGATCATGAAGTTGCGGCTATTTCAGTCATTTAGAACAAAACCTAAAAATTTCTCATTTATTGATCTAATTATATATATATTTTTACCTGAAATGAAAACTAAAATCTCGCCTAAAATTTTTAAAATTATTAAACTCGATAATTTTTTTTGTAAAAAACAATAAATCCCGCCCTTAGAAATTAATTAATCAAATATGCTATAAAGTTGTTATAAATTAGATTTTGGTATAACGTAAGCGATCTTTATTTAAAGAAATTTGATGACCGTTTTGATTTTCTGTAGGAAGTGTGTTGTTATTAAATTATGTCCGAATTTATGGTATAGAGTGAGCGATTTTATTTTGGTATGAAATGTCCGAATTTAAATGGTATGAAGTTTATTTGGTATGGATAGAAGCGCATATAAAAATTTTGAAAACAAAATAAGTGGTATGAATTTTATTTTGCATGGGTATGAAAGTCAAATTTTAGGTTAATTTGTAATAAAATCAATGTCATATGATTATCAAATTTTAGCATATTTCCATACTAAGTAATAACTTGCCATAAGATATTTATGTAATTATGCAAACTGGTATATATTCCTCTTGAAAATCATAAAGATCGTTGAACAAATATTGGTTAATAAAATTTAAAATTTGTAATTTAATTATAAAGAATTCGTTGATGAATTTGAGCAATAAGGTAACCGACAACAAGTTCATAAAATTGTGAGATAAAATTTATACTTAAATAAATTCACTTTTAATTAATGAAACAATATAAGTTTGACATTTATACTTATTATTCCCATATAATTTACTTTAATCCATTATGCAAAGCAAACTATTTTATTTTTATTTTTATCTTTTTATAAATTTCTTTAATTCATTTTATAGAATCACATTGTAGTCAACCGAATTTATGAATGAAATTTTTAAAATGACACTTATTCTGACATGAATATAATGTAATTTATTATCAGTTACTACTAATTTTAAATAAACATGTTTTATGTAATTTTGAACAATTTAATTTTCATATAACATTTTTAATAAATCAATATAAGTAAATTGTATTACATACTGGTTTCATATTTTAAATATATAAATATTATTTAATGATTATTTTTAATTTATAAGTATTAGTAACTATCTCTTACTCGTGCATTACACAAGATTCATACTAGTTCCCGGTGAAAAATTGATAGAATTTCATTATCTCAGTTAGAGTTATAAACAAGCCAAACCAGGTTGATATTCAATTTTTTTGACACATGTTAAAGCTTGATGAGACTATCTTGCTCGAGACTTGGCTTGAGTCAACAACCAAACACAAATGATTGGGATCGGCTCGAGTTTTGCTTAAATGTAGCTTAAAAATTTAATTAAAAAATATTTATCAAGAGGCAGATTGTATAACGATAATGAATAGTTGATAGTAGTAACAAATTATATTAAATGGTTGCATAAATATATTTAATAAATAATTAATATCCGTGTTAGATTCTTAATATAAAATGAACAAATTTGGCAAATAATATTTTTATTTGGTATTTTTTTAACTTATAATGTAAGTAATGTTATTAGTTTATTGTGAATAATTTATTTTTCAATTTTTAACTAACCAATGGTTGCTCAATTAAAATTATTAGATGCACAATTTTTGTGAGTTTTAATCTACAAATAGGTTATATTTCATTTGTTGTGAACAAACATTACTAATGGTTAGTTAATGTAATATTATCAAACAGTTTTTGTAAGTTAAAGCAACATATAAATAATAAAAATAGATAACTAATATTTATAATCAATTTTTATTCATTTATTCACAAACATTTCTTTGGCAGAAATCCTCATTAGATTTCTCCGTCGTCAGGACGGTGCCACGGCTCAGTAATTTGTATGTGGTTTTCTTTTTGTTTTGTTTTTGTTTTTGTTTTTTTTTTTCTTTTTTTTGCAATTTTATCTTGAGCTTTGTTCGTGAATGATCTTGTGAGGTTTGAATTGCATCTGGGAAGCACAATTTTTTCGAGGTTAGATTAATGGGTTCTCCGTCTTTTTAATTTCGGAGGTATATAGGGTTTGGATTTTGATTTTCAGCTGGGGTTCGTAGATTTTTTATTTTCGTTAATGCTGCTCTTGCAACTATTTATTGTGGAGGCGGTCAACGATCCACAATTAATGAAGATTAGGATTTTGGGGTTGAGGGTAGTTTGGGGTTGTGGAATTTGAATTTAATCAGCCTTGAATGAATTCAGAATTTAAAGTTTTACCACCATGAGTGATTATGAAAGGGTATTCAGTTGCTCATTGCTGTAATTTCTAACAAAGAATTGAGGCTGCCGAGCTAATACTTCCAGTTGGATTTGTACACTGTGCTTCTATGTGTCCCTATTTTTTATTTTTTGTTTAAGGTAGCAGAGCTTTGTTCTGATGGGCTGCTATGCAAGAATTTTATTATAATTTCCTGCATATTTCGACAATATAGTAATTCTTTCAATCTACTCAATAATCAGCATGCCATTTTTTTATTTTTTTTCTTTATTGAAGTAAGGTTGTTGCTAGATTCAAATTAATAGCCCTTTATTTGAGCTGTGGATATATTGATAGATAAGAACTCTGCAACCAAATTTTTTTGTTTAGAATGTACTAGAGTATTATTGAACTACCATTGGAAAGAAGAATTTAAATATATCTTTGTAATCTCTTTTTTGCAGTAATCCCGTGCTTGTTTTTCCCACTCAACGACATCCACTATTTTTCAAAATTTAAACCAAACCCGTGTTAGCAATTCTAACTTTCTTGCACGTGTTGTGCACTTTGAACAGTTTCAGATGGTTGTGTAATTTGGCTCTACTCTTTAGTCGTGTCAATACTCAACAGTGGGCAGCATTTACATTCGAGTGAAACCCGCATTTGCATAATAGTTATCCACTTCCCCCAAACTGTCTGAATTACTACACCATTATCGTCCCATGTTTCCTGTTCGCCGTCCCTTGCCAGCTGTCTCGAATGGCATTTCCCATTCCGGGACTTCACCGTAAAACCCAGACTAACAAACTCCCGTCGCTAATGGAAGCCCGTAACGAAAACGAGCACGTCATCGACATTGCCAGCAGCAGCAGCAGCAATAATCATCATTCCCCCTCAGTTTCGTCCAACGAGAGGCTGCCAGGTGGCGAGCCTTCCACGAGCTCGAGAAACCCGGTCTATCAGACCTCGAGGAATTCGTCATTAGCCCGGAGAGCTAACAGCCGTGGCCGCCAGAGGAGCCCGTTGAATTCTGCTGTGTGGATATCTGTGGAGTTAGTTCTTACGGTTAGCCAGATTATTGCGGCTGTTGTGGTTTTGTCGCTTTCGGAGCACGAGAGCCCACGGGCCCCATTGAGGGCTTGGATCGTGGGCTATGCGTCCGGTTGTTTCGCGATTCTTCCTCTTCTGTACTGGCGTTTTAAGCACCGGAACCAGGTTCTTGAACAGGATGGGGCCCAGCGTGTAGATTCTTCTTCACAGGGATTGAATGGTAATAATGGTGGGCTCTTGACTAGGAGAGTCATGGAAGGGGAGGAGCGTCGAGCAAATGGTGCAGTAATCAGAGGCAACCAAAGTAATGGATTATTGAACTCGAGGTATTTCGTGAATGTTTGGTCTATAGTGAATGTTTTTAATGTTTTTTTCTTTTTTACCAATTTGTTGCTTTATTTTGCTTCGGTTATTTTAGTTTCACATTATCCCGGTAAGATCGCCGTGTAGCTTCTTTTTGTCCAAAGTAGTGGATTGTTGAACTCGAGGTATTTCATAAATGGTTGGTCTATACTGCATGCTTCATGTGTTTTTTTTTTTTACANTTGCTTTATTTTGCTTATAATAAATATTTATGTCTTAATGAGTTTGGTGCATCTGAAGTTATGTTCTATTGATTTAAATTGTTCGTGCAACTGTTTTGACATATTTGATGAGTTCATTGGCTTTGTTGGTCTAGTCTTAGGTGCCAAAGGATTAAGATGGTTAACATTTCTTTAAAGAATGATTGAGGTGGTTGCAAAATCGTTTAGGAGCGAAAATGATTGGAAATTGAATATCCACAATTTTCATTTGTCTTAGTAAACTACTGAAAAAAAAAAGTATTAAAAATCCGACTCGTGGCTGCAATTGTAGTTAAAGGTTACAATTAACGCCTCATTCGTGTTGTTATGTTGGATTTGTTTCGATTGGGTCTTTGGGAAATTTTTTGAGTCTCCTGGGTGGAACTTAACAAAAACGTTTGGCTTCTACTCTTTGCAGGCTTAAGGTGTTTGTTGAGTATTTCAAGATGGCTTTGGATTGCTTCTTTGCTGTCTGGTTTGTTGTTGGCAATGTATGGATTTTCGGAGGGCACTCATCTTCCAGTGAAGCTCCCAATCTGTACAGGTAATGCGCGAATAAACTAATTGCCTAGTTCATGCGTGACAATATTTTCATGATGATTATTACTATTAGACTCTTAAGTACGTTTTTTTTTTCGTTATTTTGTAATTAAAGTAATTTTTATATTTTATGTTCTGATTATTAATGACAATATCTTCTGCTCAATCTGTATTTTGCCTTTTTGTTTCAAGTGCAGGTTGTGCATAGTATTTCTAGCCATCAGTTGTATCGGTTATGCAATGCCGTTTATTCTGTGCACGACAATCTGCTGTTGCCTGCCGTGTATAATATCTGTTCTTGGCTTCAGAGAAGATTTTGCGCATAATAGAGGAGCAACTCAAGAGTCGATTAATTCCCTGCCGACTTATAAATTTAAAATAAAGAAAAGTCGAAGCTCCAATGATAAGGAGACTGGTGGAGGAGTCGAGGGTGGGATAGTGGCTGCCGGGACAGAGAAAGAGCGTGTGATATCAGGAGAAGATGCTGTAAGCTTTTCTCTTTCAT